AAGCTCTTATCCAGTGCAGAAATCTGTCCTCTCTCTCCCCAAACTTACTACACACACACACACACACACACACACACACACACACACACACACACACATTCAGGATCCAAGGATTCCCCCCCCAAAAAAATCTCTACAACTAATAACTCAACAATAAACTGAATAGAAAGTACACTACAACACTCTGAGCACAGGTATCAACTACTATTGGTTGAATTATATTGGCAATGTCTTTAAAAGACGTGGTACATAGAGATCACTGCATAGTATGAGAACTGATGAATGAGAATGCACCCCCCAACAACAACAACAAAAAAAAACAATGTAATTTGACCAACCGACCGAGTCAGCCCTTTTCATCTTTGTACATGCAAATTCCAATATCATTCCAACATAAACTGATGAAGCTGGTAGACTACTCTGAATCTTTATTTTTATCTATTTCGGATTTAAACCCCACTTCTTTCCAAAAACCTTTGTGATTGCTTAAAAATTTCAAAACACGTTATGCAATCGCAGTCGACATTCAAATGTTCGTGTAAGAAAGAGAATAAACAGTTCTTCTATCTTCGTATCCAAGCAAAACAAGAAATGGCTTTCAACTCAAAAGAGGCTTGGAAGAAAAAGCTCTGGAAGTTATAGCTGAAACAAAGTAGAATAGCTATATCAACACCTTTCTAAAGGATTTTAAAGCCTGAATACACTATTTATGTTGGACGGGAAAGGCTCCTTATAGTTCCTTAAACTCTTAAAATTGACTAATGAATATAAAGCAACACGATGTATTAGGTTTCTATTTTCGGTTTTAAGAAAAGGTGGCATGGATTAAGATGCAAAGGGCCTGGACTGCATCTAAAAGTAAATAAAGTATTACTTTGGCTATCTTGATAACAGATAAAGTATGTTCAACCACAGATAATTTTTACAAATTCATCTTAATTTTTGTTTTGTGTTTCCTTCCTAATAAAAATTTAGCACTAACCATCCTAACAACAACAACGACAACAAAAAAATGACACTATTTTAATTTGATTATGTGCCAGGTGCTATGCTAAATGATTTGCATGCATTTCATCTTCACCCAAACCTATGGGATGGGTAGTATTTGGTAATTTTTGAATTTACCTTCATTAAGCACAATTAATGTATTACACTAGATTTGCAATATGGGTACTCCCAAAACCTGAGCTAAAATAAGAACAAAGCTATTAAGAATCAGTACATGAATGAGATTAATTAATGAGATGTCTATAGAAATAATTACCACAGAAGATGTTTCATAAATTTGACTAAACAGAATGAGCTATGTCTACTCCTAAACCAAGGTGACTAAGAATTTATCTTGACACTCCTCCACCCCCAATTTGTTTTAATTTCATAATTTTTAATCAATCTTCTGTTGTAATCTAGACTTTGCTATTGCAAAAAGAATAAGTCTATCCGTCAGCTTCAACATCTGGTCTACCCAGGAGCTTTATTCCCCGTTACAAATGCATAAATTGACATCTGGTCCTAGTTGGTTGGTTATTAGGAACTAACGCTTTATCAAATCTGACAAAATCAAGTTCTGAGGCCCTAAATCAAGAATACTAGGTCCGAGACCATGGCGGTTGTAACCCCACACTCTGGGGTCTTGCTAGAGGAGTCAACAAATTTCTCTGATATCTCTTTATTCTTTCTTTATCTTCCTATCTTCCAGTTTAAGACAATGTGAATTAAAGCCAGTAAACCTTTATAACAAAATGTTCGTATATGCAACAGTAAAAACCATCTAGTCCCTTCTAGAATCTACAGACCAATCAAATTTCAAAACATAAACATTTGGGGGGACAAGTTACCTTTATTTTTTCTTTGCCAAGTCAGGGTTATTAAAATCTAATCTATTCATAAAAGAGAATATTTACAGGGGGCAAAAAAGGAAAAACAATCTCATAATAGTAAATTTTTTTTTTTTTAATGAAGTGAATTTAGCTTTAAGGAAAACCCACTGGAGAGTGTTTATTTTTCTCACCTCAACACAATTAACTGATCTAATTTAGCGACTTCATGAGCAAACTGGGACAAAGAAGAGTTGATCACTTTGCCTAAGACCACGCAGCATTACCTCAAACCTCGGTGCACTGCAATTTTCATCACACAGATCTGACTCTAAATCTTGTTCCACAGGAAAAGCTAAAATCCTGCTACAATGGCAAGCCTTATATTTTTTTCCCCTTATCGCGACGCCACCGTCACCACGGGGTTTGGTTTACAGTCTACACATATTTATGCTGAAATATTATCTTTTGGCGTTATTTCTGGCAGCGGTAGCGTGAAAAGATCAAAGTCCAATGAACAAGTGAGGTTTTGATAAACCACACAACCTCCAGAGGATCTAATGCACCCACAGCCACCCCCATAAATCAAATCTCCTCACTTTTTCCTGGCGCGACAATCCTGTGTTCCACTGATTTCAAAAACTAGCCCATAAGAGGTCCAGTCATAAAGATAACTTTTGATTTCCCATTCACAATATACCAGAGACAAGGAGCGGAAGGGTTTTGCTTTGTTTTTGGAACGATGAGAATATAGCTATTTAGTCAAGACCACTTCTTAGAAGTGGTGGGACTTCAAATGTGTTTTGGGAAAAGGAAGGCATCGTGAACACACGAATTTGAAATCCACTCAAAAGTAAATGAGTAGAAAAGAAGTAAATGAGACCTCTGCATTCCACTCAATTATTTTAAACTATAGGACTATCGAAGAGATATTTTTCTCATCCTTTAATTCCTTCTCTGCATAGCTGTCTCCTCTTTCTCTGTGAAATTTAGTTTGCTTCGGCATATGCTCATAAGACAAGAACTCAACAGCACGCTGGTAATATTTAGGACAGGCGAGGACTTCACTGAAGACACTATAAAGGCCAGTAAAACTTCCTTTTTCTGGTTCTCATTAGACAGCTCACAGAGAATGACCTTGTCCTTTGCAATGTCAAGCCCTGTGGTCTCAGGCTGCTTTTTCTGGTTTTAGATCTCTGTCTACCCTCCCTTTGTCCTGAAACATTTTTCCAACTACACAGAAATGACTTTCCTGTTGACATCTCAAAGGTCACTCTACAGAAGCTAAAGTTAGATTAAGCCATCCTTCAAGTATCATTATGGGATACTCATTTATCCCCATGGTCACCAATTTCGGAGAATCGGTGGGCTCTCAAAGCTTAAAAAAAGTTCTTGCCACAATTTGGGAGAAAATGATTCATATTCAATTAGTAATCTATCATATGCTGATAGGTTAATGACAACTTGCAATTATTATTACTGAACAAAGTAACCTCGTTTCTCCACTTGTTGAAGCATAACTACTGTATTTTCTCTCCTAGTGCTAACTTGTTTCGGTTCTGTGAACTTCGCTAGGGTATATCAATTATCACTTACCATTAATAAGCAGAGAGCTATCGGATCCTGGATATGAATAGTTTAGACGACCTGAAGGTAAAAGAAGGCCGTTACTAAATTTATTTTTTTCATGGATGGTTTCCGCGTATTCAATAACAAAACTGAACTGTTTTCGTAGGTAAGGTATTTAAAAAGCTCTATTATGGGACAAAACCTTGTCGTGCTAGTGAACACAATGAGTCAGAGGACATATCAATCAGCATATTCACAAACATTCAAAAAATTGACAGTTTGAAAGTGGGAAAATAAAATTTCCCTCATATTGAACTATTCGCTCATTCTAATTTCCAAGTCCTTATCCAAAGTAATTTTCTTTAGACCATCATGTTCTAATACTAACTCATAATAACAATTTTCACATTTTTTTTTACTCCATACATGTGATAAAATTTTTTTCATGTGTAGTTTTTTTTTTTTTTTTAGGAGTATGTAATTAGCAGCGATATTTTTCTATATGATTTAGAACAGAATTGCCAGGCTTATGTCTACAGGTACAAACACGCTAAAGGGTTTAAATTTGCATTTGGGTGAATTAGCGCAGACAAACAGATCATTGTACTTACGCATGCCAGAAAATATCAAAACATATAGCAAAATGCCCAGAGCATAGCAGGCACTCAATAAACGCCGGGTTAGTTTCCTTTGAATTTTTAAGTGGTTCAAAAATCTCATTTTGAACCTAAAACAGGCACCCGCGATGCCCACCAAATAAGAATTTGTGAAGGTACTAAAATTTTTGGAGGATGCTACACCTTCTGAAAGCTGGTAACCACAAATGAAGGGGGGAAATGGCGCTGGGATTTCTCCATTTAGAAGGCGTGCCATTTCCGTTTGGGAAGAATTTCTATATGTAAATTGAGGTATCTAGACAACAAATTCTTACTGAACGCACACCATGCTCACCTAAGGAACGGTTAGGGGAACTGGACTGTTAGTTATCTATCATAGTCCAGCATTGTATAAATCAGGGTTGTGTGAGAATTTAAAATTGACTCAGAATTACTAACATCCCATTAGGAAACAGTGGTCTAAGCCCCGATCCCACTGAACCAACTACAGTAGAATCTCCAAGCTATAGAAAAGTGGGTAAGCAGAGGTTCTCGAATGCCTTGAGGCTGGCAAAAGCCTTGCAAGATGCCAGGTGAGACTCCACGCAGCTCCACTGAGCACTCTGGGAACCAGAGCTAACACGTGGTCCTATCAATCCGATAGCTACAGACTGACGACTCTAGAAAGGCCTCGACTACCCTTCAATCCCTCAAAATCCCGCTTCTTTGAAACAGTCTCCACAGAAATGAACTCATGCCATGAAAAGAGAAATTATTCTCTATTGCTAATAGCTTTAACTAATCCAAATCCAAAACCTGGAGTCTGATATGAAACAAAGTCTTAATCTCATGATTTGCCTACAATTTAACGTCAAATACAGGATTGGTTTTATTTTTATTAACTATTCACCTTAAAATTTCAGCTGGTTCCTATTTAGGGAGTGGAGGTAGGAATGGAGATGGGGAAGGAGGGGTAAAAAAATAACTTTTTTATTTTGATTTCTTCCTAAACATTGGCTTCATTATTTAATGCTAATACACACAGCCAAGTGTCCAAATCTACTGAATTCCATCCGAACTGCTTTAGCGACAAGCTCTGATCGTATGACCTGTCACAAGTGTATTTATTTATTTATTTTTTAAAGCATAGACCTCAGATGCTGGAACAAGAACATGACTTTAACTGTGAAAAACCTAGGAGGGGTCGAGTACTTTCTCTGAATCACTTAACTTAAAGTAGCAGCTGATTTTCTGTAATGGAACGTAGCATACATTTTATGACTGTAAAACTCCCTAGTAAGTTAAGTAACAGAGCCCTCACACATACCATTTCTATTTGTCATAAAACATTTTTTAAAAAGATGATGTAAGTCAATACAGAAACAAAAATTTTAACTATATTAACTGAAGTCAAGAGGAAACTTTTTTTTTTAAATACATCTTCATATAGTCTAATAATTCTAATGCTAACATTCCTGTTGAAATCATGGCTGTTTCACATGAACTATAGTCCCTCTTCTTTGATGCCAAAGACAGATGATTAACAATGAGAATTGAAAGGCAAATTACCAAACGAGATGGCCCAGTTTAACCAGTTTAAATCAAGTTCCATCTCATCAGAAACTCATCTTTTAAGGAGAGAGAGAGAGAGAAGTATATTTCAATTTGACAGGCATAAAAGTGTCCCTTAACTCAGTTCTCAGTGTGCCTCTGAGAACACCTCTTAAAGAGGTCCCACCCCCACGCCCCCCAAGGTGACCTCTGGCATTTTTTTCTGCTCTTCAGTCTCTTGAATACAGTAATTCTAGCCTTCAGCTAAGACAATAGGGCACTGAGGAATCGTTGGCGAGGTTCATGGTTTAACTCTGAAAACTGATACTTGTTTTTAATTTTCTGACCAGGTCTCATGAGCCCTGTCAAGCTAGAATCAATTTTGGCTTCTGAGTAGCACATACCTCTGTGACATTTTATGAAGCAGTCATGCATTCTACTTCAATTTTTTTTTTTTTACTTCAGTTTTAAAATATAACCAGTGACATTAAAAAAAAAAAAAATCTTTTTTTTTTTTTTAACTTTCTGAATATATCCATAGCCTGTGTGCCCTATCCTTCCGTGAATTTTTTCTATAATTAAAATATCTGGTCATCCATTCATGACATCTATCTTAGATAACACGTATCACTTCCTTTGTGGAAATCTTCCAAAAGCCATGGGACTTTCAATTCTCCTCGGAGCCCTTCTCATTCTGCCTGTACCATCCCTCCTCCTTCCACTCCTGCCCTAGTGTTCTGCTGCTCTGTGGATGCCAGCTTACACTGGCATTTCTGCATCTTCCATTCTGCAGCTAAAATACCCACAATCCCTTCCGTCATCTGAGATGGCGGCCCTCTTTCTTTCTTCCCCTGGAGGGTATTTTTTGAATTTTTATGTTTTTTCCAGATTCGCCAATTTACAGGGCACAGTTCCCAAAAAAGGAAACCCATCCCTCGCCTCCTCTTTCTTAGATAAACTCGCCGAATTTTATTTCTAGCTATGTTGCACATCTGGCTGACTTAGGTAACCATTTCAGCTACTGCCTAACTTTCTCTGTCTCTCTTACATGACAGCCCCTTTTAAGAACTAGAGGCTGTTGTTGTTGTTTGTTGTTTTACCTAGTACCTTGACTTTCCTGTTCGGGCACCAGATAAGCATTCAGTAACTTCATTCCATTGAACTTAAAACACCGGCATTTTACAAACGAATAAAGTGAAGTAAAATAAAAATAACTGATCTATCTAAATATCGCTATAACTCAGTGTTTGTCGGTTTTGCTTTGTTGGGTTTTTTTTTTTTTTTTTTTTGATAACTCATCTATCTATAAACATAACCTTGGTTTTGGAACACTTAGAATCGAATTCCTCAAGAGAGGAGGAGGCCGTTAGGGTTTCAGGCGAGTGAATCTATTTGGTGGAGAAAATTCAATCTTTGAAGGCTCTTGGTATTGATGGTGTTATGAAGATGAAGAACTACTGCCTGATCAGCAGTCTTAATCTTAAGGGACACCATGACAGGAAAGAAATTGCCTCCAGAGGCCGGCCGTGGCATTTGGAGCCAGAAGCCTGGCATACATCATGCAGAAGGCATAGACTATATTTGGTGACATGACTCAACCTTGCCAAATATAGGCAACTAATACAGTGGGACTCTGGGGAACTACACTACCAAATTCTACAGCCCAGAAAAAAGCCACACTCCAACTAGGCAATTCTATGCTAGGCATTTGCAAGTTGGAGAGAACCAATATTTACCAACCCAACTAAGAAATGCTGGGGGAGGAGGTGCTCAAAAGGAACAGAATGTACTATCGTATTCTTTTAAGACACTAAGTAAAATAACCTAGTCAATGAAATGAAAGGACAAAAGACTAGAAAGAAATACTCTAATATATTAGCAGTATATGTATGTATTACTTTCAAAATTAGATAAAAAGATAAAAGTTGCTTTCTAAAAAGTAACCCAGGTATTATTGCTACTGATAATTCTGCAGGAAATAATACAATCAATGTTGCCATTTCAAACACACAAACACCAAAAAACATCAGGTGCCCTACGGTGCTATTAGATTTCATGCTGTGACCTTCCCTTTTTCAGTCACGCCAGCATTGTTGGTGACATGCTATAGGCCAAGGAATGGCAATAGGTGATAACTTGATAACTCCTCATGGCTTTCCAAAATATAGCCGTGCGGTCCTATAAAGTGACAAGTAGTATGAAATTAGTTCCTCTATTGACTCACACTGTAACAACTTAGATACTCCAAGGAAAAAGAGGGGTCTTCAGTGGACATCATTAAAAATTTCTAATAGGAAAAGGATAAGTATGGGCTTAAGCCCATTTCTAAGGTAGATCAAAGATTTATACACACGACACACACGTATTTACACATCCACATGCATTCGGTGTTGTCGTCTAACTAGAAGTGCTCCTAACACCTCTGCTCCTGCTAATTTTATTTAGTTCATATCTACATATGTCAAAGCCATTCCGCCATCATTTTTTCAAGGAGCAGCACCACTCGCCCTTCCCCATCTATTTTTACCGGCACTGCCTGAGCCTTGCAGCTAGGTGGCACTGTGGAGACCTAGACAATGCATAGCGAAACTCAAGAAACGCATAATAAATTCAGTTTTTGAATACCAACTTTATGCTGATACAGACGCAGAACACATATCAATATGAACTAATAAAAATGTGTTCCATACATTCTGCCACTGAATGATATAAAGAGAACTATTTTTAATAATTGATTCTATTGATCTAAGAATAATTCCCCAAACCAAACTCTATAATCTTCTTCTACCTCCTGACCTATCTGTGATACAGCGACTTCCAGTGAAGACGTCTGCATGCACTATCACGGAGAAGGAACTGGCGGGACTGACATGAACCAGAGAGTCTTGTCCCCCTTCCCGAAAAGCCATCTAAATGAATAAACAGAGAGTT